ACACCACTGAGTAAAGAATTTCTTCCTAACATATAAGCTTTATTTCTCCTCTTTTAGTTTAAAATCAGTTTGCCTTGTTCTATCACTAGGTTGGATAGACCAAACCCACTGGTCTCAGCGGAATCAGAAGGGAGAGCTGGAGGCAGCATGGTTAGAAGCAGGAATGTTGCTAGAAATGCAGGAGAGCAGAAGCAATCCAGCTTAAGGAAGGCAGGGTGCTAATGCCGGAGAAAGGACAAACGAGCACCTAAACCAGAAGGTTAACCAAGTAGTGAAGCCCATGCTGATGGTATCATGAGGCTATTCAGAGAAGCACAATCCTTGGGAAGCAAACTGCTGCTGCAGAAGTTGGAGTTTAAAGATCTGTGGTTTGCAGGGAGGTGGTTTGCATCATAGCAGGCGGGGGGCAGAGAGAGAAGTGGGGGGTGAAACCAGATAATCATTGTGGTCCTTTTCAACCCAGGCATGATTCTATGATTCTACAATTAGCAGCCCTGCTGGAGGGGGATATATGGTTTACCCCCACTTCAGGCATTCTAGACCCTAAATTCCATTACTTGCATCTGTACATATATCACAAAATTCCTGGTGATGGATTTTCCTAGAGCTTCTATCTCCCTACATTTTTAAACACCCTATGGAGTATGACACACCCTCTACAGGAAGCTCAGTCTTTGCTGATGAGAAGATCTTGCATTCAGGTGATGAAAAGACCTTGGGACCTTGAAAAGATTCAATTAAATATCGCTGTTGATTTCTTACTGCTGTTGGCTCCCTGGTCCTGCTGGCAGCTCAGGCAGCTGTAATGTATGCATTCCCTTCATCATCTGAAGTAGCCAAGCCTGAGATAACAAGAGTGAGAAGCCAAGTATCTGCCACTATACAAAGACAAGGCTGTTAGGTATTAGCTGTAAATCAAAGGCGAGACTTGGCTGTTGGGACAGCCTTCATCCCTGGTGAGGCTGTGGAATGGCTTTGGAGCCTGCTGAGATATCTAAAAAAGGCCCTTGTGCTTTGATTGGGAAGGAAGATTGCATCCGAGTGAAAGTAAAGAGGATGGTTGATCCTTCATCAAAGCTTTTTCCCAAATGTGCGTTGGGCTGTATTTGATTATAAGAGGCTGCTTCAGAGGCCAAAGGCTAAAGTACAGAACCACAGAATCACAGAATCATTACAGTTGGAAAAGACCACTAAGATCACTAAGTCCAACCCCAATTCTTCCGAACCATGCCCACTAACCGTGTCCCTCAATGATACATCTGCCCTTTTCTTCAACATCTCCAGTTTCTCCTATTATCCAACCTCAACCTCCCCTGGCACAACTCTCATCCCATCTCTAGTTACCAGGGAAAGGATGCCGACCCCCATCAACAGATGTTTAAGTGACAACAGCAGCTCAGTAGGAGCACTGTTTGCACTGCTTCCCTAATAGCTGGCACTTCGGCCCTTTTTGCAGTGCCAAATTGCTCACTTCTGCTGGGAAATCAAATGGAATTGGGAAAGGACATGTTGTAATTAGAGTTGTGACCCTTCTGCTGAGTCTGGGGGGCTCAGTGAATCTCTAGAGGGCTGAGCCAGCACCAGCCTTGTTAAAACCATCCTATCCAGAAAAGCTTGGATCTGTTCAATATCTATTTGATAAGCTTAATCCTGGAGAATGCAGAAGCCTGCCAGAATGCTTCTGTAAATCAGGCCCATTCTTTGCACATCCTTCCTATCTCACTGGCGAACGTGACACTTGGCCATGGTGTCACTGATGCAGATGTAACTTCTGGTGTTAGGAATGGACAGCAACCTCTCCACAGCTGAATCCCTACTGTGCATCAGCTTGAGATGGAGAGGCAGCTGGTGGGACTTGGATGCCCTGGGAGCTGCCAATCACTCTGTCATAAAGATATTTTGGATACGTAGAGCACCTAATAAACCTCTGTTTAGCGGCTTCCCTGGGGCAGAGGGGCGGTGAGTAATATTCCCTCATTAGCAGGTGGAATATGATATGGGATGATGGTTTCACTCCAGCTGGTGATTGGAACTAGATGATCTTAAGGGTCTCTTTCAACCCAAACCATTCTGTGTTCTCAGAAATTTGTTCCTTACAACTGCCTGAAAGCTCCCAAGGAAGGTGATGGAGTCACCATGCCTAGAGGTGTTCACAAAAAGGGCAGATGTGGCACTGAGTGATATGGTTAGTGGGCATGGTGAGGATAGGCTGATAGTTGGACTGGATGATCTTAGAGGTCTTTTCCTGCCTTAATGATTCCAAGATTCAATCAAAAAATCCTCCTCCTTTTCTGAGTTACCTACAGACTACGCTGTGAATTTCAGAGTTAGACTTTTACAGCTCGAGATGTAAGGATTGCTTCCTGTCTCCTCAGATCTTCCCTTTGACCCTCTCTGATACTCCAGCTGCTGCAACAGCCATGTTGCAGGCAGAATGAATTCATGTTCTCATCTCCACTTTCACTCTGGAAAGTCATTAACGTGAAATTGCCAAGTGGAGAAGCTCCAGAGAGTTTAACGTGGCTACTTTATATTGCCGTTAGGAGTGTCTGGAATTGAAAATAAACCTGGATTTGCAACTCTTGACTGTTTCATCATAAATCCAAGCTTCCTTATGTGCTTCTCTTTGCTGAAGAAGATGACTGTATTTCTGCCTTTACAAAGATGTTGTGCATCGAGCTGAGAGCCACAGCTGCACAGAAGCTGGCTGATGTTTATTTGCAGGCTTTCACTTGCTGGCTTTTTTTTTTCTTTCTTTTCTTTTCTTTTTTGCTTGTTTGTTTTTTTTCATGCAGACGATCCTCAGAGGAAGCAACCCCAACATGTTACGTGATGTCGTGGTTTTGCGATGTTTCTGTTGTCGGTATTCCACATCATAACATCATGTAAAGCATTGGGAGTTAAAGAGTTAATGTTCTGGTTCTGTGGACCGTCGTTTCTGGGTGCTTTGTTCACGAAGGGGCAGGGGAGGGGCTTCATTCCCCGGAGGACTTTGTGCCCAGATGAAGCAAGGTGGAGGCAGCTCACCAGCCCCTCGCGTTGTTCTGTGCCGAGGAGCACACCAGGCTTTAGAGTAAGGACTTCAGTTTGGACACCCTCTCATTTTGTTTCATTCATTGGCCTCAGTTCCACGTATATCGTGTTGTATTGTGTTATCTTGCATTCCGAGATCATATTTAGAAGTAATTTAACGTCTTCGTCCTCAGATCGTTGCTGTTGCCTCGGTTTTTAGACCCATTTCCCATCTCCCTGCCCATCCCCCTTCTTCCCTTTCCCCGGGCGCGCCCCACAAGTCTCCTGCCTCGTTAGTCACTGGCCTGTAAACCGTTCACACTTTTTTTTTTTACTCTTTCTTTTTTCACACAGAGGGTGGTGACACCCTGGAACAGCCCAAGGAGGTTGTGGATGCTCCATCCCTGCAGGCATTCAGTGCCAGGCTGGATGTGGCTCTGTGCAGCCTGGTCTGTGACCCTGCACACAGCAGGGGTTTGAAACTGGATGATCATTGTGGTCCTTTTCAACCCAGGCCATTCCATGATTCTACGAAGGTCTCAGATAAAAAGAAAAAAAAATCATGGTCATTCTTTAGTGATTGAAGAAAATTAGATAAATTTATTGTCCACTGAATTATTGCCTTCCTAAGCCGTGGTCCAGAAAAATGTTTTAAACTTAGCTTCAGATGTGTGAGAGTGGTCTCACTGATGTCAGCAAAGTCTAATTTTTTGGGCAGTTGTGTGCTGTGATGTTTGGAGTTTCATCTTTATTTTGCTCTGTGGGATCTTCACACTGGGAACTTGCATTAACCTTACTTTCCAAATTGTGCAGTGAGATAGGATAGAAGAGTTGTTCTTGTGATTTTGCTGTTGTCCTTCTGCAGCACTCTGAAGTTGAAGGAAGCACCTTTGCAGATAACTAGATGTTATGAGCTTTCATATCCAAGGATCATATCCATGGAGACACTCAGGATCAAGTTGGATGTGGCTCTGAGCACTGATAGAGCTGTAGGTATCCCTCATCATTGCAGGGGAGTTGGATTAGATGTTCTGTAAGTGTCCCTTTCAACTCAAATCTTCTTTGATCCCACTGGAACATCCGTCTGATAGCCTGTTGAGTTCTAATGCAGTAGATGTCAGGGCTTAGGCAGCAGCAAGCAACAGTCAGGCATTTTCTCTGGTCTTTGTGAGTCTGTGGTTTTCCTCAGCAAGCACAATAAAGCACCACTAAAGCTGTGGAACCTTTGCCTTCTCCAAGGACTTCAGTGAGTGCCCCTTCTGAGCTGGGTGGAGTTGAATAATCTCCATTTCACAGGAAGGAAATAAGGACCCATTGGAAGAAAGGTGCCCTGGCCAAACAGTGTGAGAGAAAGACCCATAACTGCATGAGTGAACTAGCTCCAGGAATAGAAAGTATGTGCAGGCACTATAGTGTATAATCCTTAGCCTGATCCCTGTTGCTGAACAGGGTGTACATTAGTGCTGCTTCCAAGATGTATCATGGACGGTGCTGCAGCTTTTGGAGTCAGATAATTGGATGGGAAATACAATTTAGGTTTCATAGATGTGAGTCACAGTAGTGAGTGTAAGGGCCAGAGAACAGGCCATGGTCTATTTGCTAGTGTGGACTTATCTCAGTGTTTTGTATTGTGGATCCCTTAGTAATGACACACATACTTTATTTTTGGCAGAATTAGAAACATTTAAGACACTTTCTGCAGACTTTCTCTTTGATTGCTAGGTCTTGACTGGTAAAGCAGTAGGAAAAAGACTTAAAATAATATATCCTGCTGGGTTTCAAGAGAAGCAAATTTCCAGTGCTCCTTCTGTCTATAACTCATCAAGAGACTTTGGACAATTTTTTTCCACCTTTGTATTCCTCCAGAGCTGCCTTTGTCATTGATTTGTCAGCCTGCATAATGGTGTCCCTGATGAATGAATGCTTCCAAGATGGCTTAAGAATTGTTGGCTTCAGTTTTTCATACTTTCTTTCTTATTGTTTCATAGCTGTTAACAATTGATGACAACTTCTGTGGCCTGGATATGAATGCCCCCTTGGGAGTATCATCTATGGTGCGAGGGCTCCCCATTTACACTGAAGATGGAGACAGAATGACATCTGTGATCGCTTATGTCTACAAGAACCACTCCCTAGCTTTTGTGGGAACCAAGAGTGGAAAGCTCAAGAAGGTAAGACCAAATGTTGTCCTCTAACTCAGATTTTTCACATATTTATGGAGATTGGCGGTATTGAACGGAATGTGAGCGCAGACCTTATTGTGAGGTGCATCACCTGCTTTAAGGATAGCACATGTTTCAGTTGGCAAAAAACTGTGTTCCACCCACAAGGGCTGAGTGCTCGTTCTGAAGGAAAAGTGTTTTCATCAATAGACAGCTGTGTCTGAATGATAATGAGCGTTATGCTTATGGAGCAACCACGGTTGACGCCACATAAATAAATACACTCTTTATTGAATTTGAGCTTCTGTTCCTCACTCTGTGTTCTCAAAAAATATAAAAGCCTGTTGCGCGGCTGTAGCTCTGTGGTGTAACAGCTGCTGTAGTTCATCATGTACGGCAGTAATGCAGAGCCTGAGAGTTGGAAGCTTTGTTGTGCTTTTAGTAGGTGCTCTTCTTAAGTCAGCAAGAGGTATTAGAAGTGGCCTTGTGCTAATGATGGGCATCACATCCATTTCAACTCCTCCGTGCCAGTTTGGCAACGTTTAAATGCTTGAGCTGGGGATGTTGCAAAATATGATTTGTGAGGAGATGGGTGAGAAGCTGTTACAGGAGTTTGGAGGAACCCCAAGGCTTGGATTGGATGTTGAATCCTCTTTGAATTCCTTTTTGCAAATAACGTCAAGCTGAGGAGATGAATGTACTATTAAAAAGTCTTGTATATATGATGGGCAGAGCAGAGAGGAGAAAGGGATTCATTTGTTCATGGATGCGTAAGGAGGGTCTGAGATCTCTGGTTTTGTTCCTCTTGCTACTGCTTCATTTAAGAACATCAAGGTTTTAAACTCAGGTGGCACTACACCCATGTGGTTGGAGGTATATGAAATAGGATCCTGCCCACTGACAGATGTCTCCAGACCACTTCAACAGAGGAAAAGATGCTGGTGCTTTTGTACAGAGTGTGGTTGTTTTAATGGTCTGCTCTAGCACGTGGAAAAGGAGCCAAATTGTTTTTTAAGCAGTTGTAGTAAAAATAATCTCCTCCCCTGACTAATTAGGTTTTGCTTCCTTGTCATCTGTGATATCATAATAAAATGTTTAGTTCTCCAGCCGTTCTCACTGGGGGAAGAAAATGTGTAGCTGAGATCGGAACGGTAAATATCCAAAAGACCTAAACAGTTAAGAATGCCTATTGCTTCTCTGCTTTCGTGAGCTTTTGGTTTTAATTTTGGCTTTGGGAGAAGCAAAATCAGACATAGCTCTGTCTTTGCCTTTGCAGGTCACAATGCAGAATCCAAGCTTTCATCCCGTTTGAAAAGGGGGAAATAGGAGTGAGAAAGCTTTTTTTTTTTTTTTTTTAAACTGAGTGTGGTAGAGAGCAGAGACATCCTTATAGGGTAAAGAATGAGAAGAGGGGTGCTGAAGCAACTGATGTAACTTGAGAAAGCTGTGTTTTATTCTCTTTTTCCAAACGTGATGAATGTTCTGCCTGCGGTAGTTAGAGCACTGGGTCTGTGTGTCAGAGCAGGGCTGGAGCTGTGAATAAGGCCTTCGTGGGATGAATAATTATCTATCACAAAATCAACATGCAGAGCTGATCATCAGTGCAAAATGAGGCTTCCCCAAACTCATGTGGTTGTTTTGGACGAACTGATCCTGAAAATATGCATTTCCTGAAGGTTTGGCCCCATCCTTGCTATGACTTCTGCAATCTTTTACTTTCCTCCAGGGCTCCTGAGGGTATCTGAGCTCAGGACATCAGCCTGCTTTCCCCCTGCATGGGCCACACAAGGCCAGTTTGGCACTGAGGATTTTCACCTGGTCCCTGCCAAAGCTTCATGGCCTTTCAAGACTTGGTTTTCCATCTTGGCTCATTAGACAGGTGCTATGGAATTGGAAGCAAAGGGAAATACCACACTGGTAATTGCAGCTCCTGCGAAATCCATTGTGTTGGGATGAAATTTGATTTCTGTTTAAAAAAAAAATTGCACATGGGTAAATTGGAATCAGCTATGTAAGATTAGACGAAACTCTGTACCAGTAGACAAAGCCCAAGGACTCACTTTTTCCTGATGGGCCCCTACCACACGTGGCATGTACTGCTGTTTTTGTGGTGCAGTGCAGCTGCTTGATCAAGCCACGGTGAAGCATTTCTGGATAGCACAAAAAGATGAGTTGTTATATTATCTTCAAAGCAGCAGGATCTGCTCAGTTGTTGTTGAAAGATTCACTAGAAATAATTAGAAGATGGTTTTGGAGAAACTTCCCTTATTTTCTTGCAGTTTCAGTCATCTTCCCTGTGTTTTTATATACAAAATGCAGACTATGTATCAGATTCTGAAGAATGAACTCTGTGGAGGCTCTGAAAAGTACCCATAGACATAAAGCAATATCTGTTGATATACAAATGTCACATGTCAAAGGAATGTATCCAGTGGCACACAAAACTTGAAGTAAAATATCGTGCTTTACAGGAACGTATCATTAAAATGAAAACTAGCAGCACATCAGGAATCTGTCCACGTAACCAAGACAACAAAGAGAGAAAGAAAAAGAAAAAGCAACATAGAGATAGGGTAAGAAAAGAGTGAGTGAGAGAGAATGACAAGGCTGGCCCTAGCTGTTCCACTGCCCCAGGCAAAATAGTTCTTGCAGCCCTTGCTCATGCACATAGCTACATGTGCAGACCAACAGGAAGGCTCTGAATAATACACTGTAGAAATATGCCCTCCAATTCTGCCAGCTTGTCCACAGCACAGCGTGGCCTTGCAGAACAATGATATAAATAGGATAAAAATGCTAGGCTCTGAAAAGGAAAAATCTCCCCGTCTGTATCTTGTGGCAGAAACCACAGTCCATGGATTAAAGGTTTGATGGGTGTTGGTGTCAACTTGGGAATAGAGAAGGTAGCTCAGAGATGAGTGGCTGTGAGACAGCCATGCTCAGCTTTTTAATTTAACAGGAGCTTCTATTCTTCTCCTATATATGCTTTTCCCTTCTACACATGGAAGGAAATACGTTGTTTCTTAAAGAAGCTGGGGGGGAAATTAATGCTCTGCAGGTTGCAAGAGATTCGTGTGTAAAGCATGAGGATTCTATCACACAGCTAAAGCAGGTAAATCAGATGAAACGGAAAACTCCTGACCACTTGTGGGCAATGAAGATCCTGTGATGGAACTTAGGAGAAATATCTGTATCTTGGAAGCCCTGGCCAAATTATGTTATGAATACATGTCATGGCTAAGAGAATGTGGCAGCATTCAGTATTCGTTGTGTATCTTCCCTAGGTGTGTAATGTGTGGATACTGCTTTTGTGCAGATAGTTTCCACTCAGGGAAAAAAAAACAAACAAGCAAACAACAAAAACAACTTACTTGCAATTATTCTGTGTGCGTGTGTGGGTTTAAAGAACAACTTAACATTTAAAAATACCAGCTTGGGTACAGCTCCAGGAGCTGCACCTCTGTTCAAAACAACGCTTTGTCCATTCTGAAATGTCTCCTCTAAAATGAAGTAGTAATAATTCACATTTGTTTGAAACTGCTTTGTGAGAAATATTTTTTGATTCCATAAAAATATTTCAATCGAAGCCTTCCCTATGCTAAATTCCTTGCAAAGAAAGAAATTGAACTTAAGTGTCAGTTCTTTCACTCTATGGTCAATATTTCATTTTACATGAAATCTCATCAGTTTGAGGTCTTTGAAGAGGCTTTACATTTAGGGTAAAGGTTTTCATTCAAGATTAGACAGCTCTGAAATGAGCATAGCACTTCCCATCAGGTATCACTTCAATTTAGTAGAAAACTCTCACCATCGGCCAGTTTTATGAACCACCCTTTGGATTACCCTGAACTCTTGAGACCTTGCTTTCTTTGGATCCAAAGCAAAACACCATAGGAAGACTTTTCAATTTGAGATCTCAAATTGGCAGTTCTAATTTTGGGCCCATCTCACAGTCGCATTGGGGTAGATTGGCTTTCTCCAATGAATGGTTGGGATGGAAAGTACTGCATGTTTTAGCTTTTGCTGGCTTCTGGTCGTCAGACCAGCTTTGGCTGACAGCTCTTCCAGTTATGTGCTGAAGCTTTGTTTACAGCCTACTTGCCTCGAGAGCTTCAGAAGGATTCAGCACGTGGCTGGAAGACGAAGCTCCTTGCTCCATGCTTCAGGAAGGTAACCCTGAAAAGCTCTGGCCAGGCTAGTGATATTGCAATGTATCCACATGGCGAAAGGAGGAATTGCGCCTCTTTCTCCTCTGATGCATTACTTCCCATCCAAAAGCTGGAGCTAATGAGAGTGAGCCTTGGGTTTGTTGAGCACAGTTTCATGGATTCTGGTAACTGCAGAAAAAGCCAGATCCTCTCTGTTTCTCCAAGTATAAAGGGGTTCTGAATATGCGCAAGACAAGAAACTCTGTTCTGTTTTGATGTTCCCTGGAGGATATTCTGCTGCTGACAGCGCTCTGCAAATGTCAGCAGGGAAACTGCTTCCTTCTCTTTCCCTCTGCTGCTTTGAAGGAGTCAGATTTTTTAAAAAAAATTATTATTTTTTTTTCCTAACTGTTTGGCAAGTGGACTTGACTGCTCTGAAAACATGCTGTAGAGGCTCCAGCTCCTGCTGAGAAGCTGGTTTCTGCAAGAGGGACTTGCTCACCCTGGCCTCTCCTCACAGCTTCCTAAATCAGCAGGAGTCCAAGTGCTTCACTTGCTTGTGATGGAATGATACAGTTTCCCATCTGTATCTGACGTCTGTGAAGGCTGCAGCTTTCTCTGTCCTGCATTGATGTACAGTCACTTTTTGAGAGGTCATTGCCAGCTTAGATGCCTGAAGAGTATTCGGTTTTCTGGATGTGACAGCAAGAAAGCTGTGTTTGGTTAGCCTTGGTGTGAGCTACCCTTGGTGCTCATGTTGGGTGCCCTGAGAGGTGGTGGCGGAAACCTACGTGAACATGGACCAGTAACAGCTGCCCATACTGGGCTATGTAAAAGCCACTAGCTTGTGATACTGGAGTC